GAAGAAGAATAGTATTGGAGACAAAGAATGCTAAAGAAAAGAAACAAAATTTCATGAGTAAATAAAGTTGCTTCTTTATTTTTCTGAATTGAAGGATCCCACTAAACTTCATAAATATATTTTTTACAACAAAATTGGCAAACAAATTTAATTAATTAATAAAAACTAGGCCATATTTCTTAAAGAAATTTAAAAAATTCAAATTATTTTATCTTTTTTTACTAATATTTTTACTTCTTTTGGGAGATAATTTTGTATCAGATTTAATTGTTCTTATTATTATATTTAACCATTAATAACCAAAGTTATATCAATCAATTATGAATAAAATATACAATTTATTGCAAATGAAACATGTCTGTTTTATACCTGTAGATTAGAATAAATCGATTGATTTTGTGACTTTTATGAAAATATAAAATATTTGAAAATCATTATTTAAATTCCTATTGATATAAAACTTTTAATGCATAACTCAAACTTAATGAAAATTCAAAACCTAATGTAGTTTATTAGATTTATAAAGTTGTGCGCTATCATGAATTAACAGGCAAAAACGAAAAGTTTCATAAAAACTCAGTGACATAGCACTTCATTAATCATAATTAATTATATTATATAATTATAAATAGTTTAGTCGTATAATTATGTTACAGGTTGATTTTTCATAATGAAACAATTGGAATAAATTAACAAGAAGTTGAAATATTAAACTGATAACAATAGTGAACCTAATAATAATATGAATAATTCATTACGTTCAAATTTATTTTATCGAATAATAAATATTATAAATTATACCTTTAATCTAATAAATTCAAAATTAATCTTTATTTGTAATAATCAAAGAAACAATATAATAATATTTACGTATAAATATTGCAAATATAATTTTTTGCAAATTAATGATTGAAATATAAATGTTTTAGAAAAGTAATAAATTAAGAATATTGAATCTACATAGTTATAAATAATATTAAGTAAATGTAAATTTATTAAAAAAGGTTGGCTATAATTTAAAATTTAAAATTATGTACAACTTGCTATTTTCCCTATAAATACAAAAACATTTGTTTATATATACGCAATTATAATCTTTTGTAAAATATAAACTATTTGATTTAATAAACTAATTATATATATATATATATATATATATATATATATATATATCCATATATATATCCATAAATAATTAGTTATATTATTTAAAATAGTTTATATTATTGAAGATTGATGTTAACACGTCAGGGAAACCGTTGAATTTTGCATTTAAGGTTTTAAATTTTAACTTGGTTTAATTTGTAATTTTAAAGCAAGCAAAGCTAAATAAGTAAAAAAATTTTGTAGAAAAGACATATTTGGAACAGTTAGATCCGAGATTATTATTTATTATTTCAATATTATTTATATAATTATAATATGTTATCTCTATTTTAACGATACAAATGTATAATCCTGAACATTCTAATATTGTAGAAAATGGGAATCTCCATTATTTTTATCAGTGTTTTTATGATATTTCTCCTTTATTATCCGCTCATCCTTTAATTTCTTTATTTTAGTGTCCTTTTTCTATTCTTTCCCGCCATGCGCACATTTCAAGGTCTTGCATCACTGCAAAATCCCCATTTTTATGATATTCATTAAGTATCCGTTCTAAGCATTCCAATAACAAAACACATTTTACAAATAAGATACATTTTTTAAAAATAATACGATATCGATCTA